TTCCCAAAGGAAATTGCCTTAAAATTCCTTGTATAAGCACCCACTGATTGGAAAAGGAAGATGGTAGGGTGTGGCTGATGGCCAGTTGGGACCCAAAATTCAGTCCTTGTTTCCTTGTGATCAGGCCCCACCCATGATGTCTGGGGTTCTTGTCTTTATTGGTGAGGACTTCCCTTTCCTTTCATTAGATAACTCTACCTGAGCAATTTGGTCTTGGCACAATTTATACAAGTAACCAACGTTTCCACGTGAGGTACCGTGATAAATGAGATTTCATCAAACCTTGAATTGTAGACACTTAGGAGGCAAAGATTGGGAGGATCTCAGTTCCAGGCCAGCCTGGGCAAAAAGTTTGCAAGACCCCATCCCAACCAATGACTGGGCATGGTGGCATCTGTTATCCCCAGCTATGAAGGGAAGCACAAGTAAGAGGACTGCTGTCCATACTGGCCCCAGGCATAAAGCAGGACACCATCTCAAAACAACCACAGCAAAAAGATTGGAAGTATGGCTCAACCAGTAGAGCACCTGTCTAGCAAGCACAAGGCCCTGAGTACAAACCCCAGTACCACCAAAACAAAAAAGAAAGAAAAAAAAGAATGAGATTTCAGAAGTAGTGAACAGATATTAGATTATTTTGTGTTATCAGTAAGTCCTGGTTGGCCTAAGAAAATCACAGATACATGGCTGCTGTGTGGTTTTTTTTCCTTGTGCCTTCAATACCAATCTGGTATAGGGAAAGTGCATATTAAGAGATGAATATTTGATTGGGTTATCCCCTAGTTGAAAACGCATTTTTTAAAATGTAATGCAAGGGCCCTACTCTCCACAGAAAAACACATTTTCACCATAGACAGTAAGTTATTTTAGACCTCCAGGTGAGTCTTCAAACACTTTGAACAATGCTCTCATCTACTTTGACTATGGCCACCAGTATTGCAAATTAGAACAAGACACATTGAACTAATTGTCAGTTGATGCCCACCAACAAATTCCTCAAGGAAGTAAGATTTATAAAATAATTTCCACTGGCAATGGCAAATTACTGAGTTAAGCCTTTCTTATTTGATATTTATGTAAATGTAACCTCCCATTAAACCAAGGAACTGGTCTATAGTCAGAAGTACAGACCAGACATTCAAACACTCAAGCATCCACCCTGACTCTAAACTTCAGTCCAGTGCCCACGCAAGCAAGCATACCAGACACTTTCCAGTTTCAGGGTCACAGGTGTCACTGTGATTGTTGCAACTGCAAGGTACACAAGGAGCAAGTAGAGGATGGGGTCCCCTGCCACCATGTTCCGGGAGCTTCCCTCTGTGGTACCCAGCGGCACAGTCCTGAAGGGATGAAAAGAAACAAAAAATGAACAATCTGTTTAAAAACTAGATAAAGGACTTGAATACATTTGGCTGGTGAAAACATACAAACAGCCAACAAAGAAAGTGGTTCAACATCTCTGCCACTAGGGAAACGCATATCAAAGCCACCATGATACAACGTCTCACACCCACAAGGCGTCTCCTAGCAAAATGACAGAGTAACCAGCACTGGTGAGGCTGGGAGAAGTTGGGACTCTTGTGTACTGCTGGTGGGAATGTGAAATGGTGCAGCTGCTGTGGACAACAGTATGGAGGCTCCTCCAAAATTAAAAACTGAATTCCCACGTGACCCATCAATCCCACCTCAGGTATATCCAAAAGAATTGAATGCAGAGATATGAATGCGTATTTTCACTCCCCTGTTCATAGAAGTATTCATAAATCAAACGGTGGGAGCCCTCCAAGTGCCCACAGAAGGACGAGTAGGTAAGTAAAATAAGTACATCCATATAATGGAATATTACTCAGCCTTAAAAAGGAGGTCCTGTCACATGTTAACACATGGATGAACTTGAGGACATTATGGAAAATAAGAAATGTCACTCAAAAAACTACAAATACCTATGGCTCCACTCCTCTGGGGGACTAAGAGTGATCAAATTCACAGAGATAGTTACTCGAACTGTGGCCAGAGGGGCTGGGGACAGGGGGAACGGGGAGTTTTTGAGTTGGGAGTAGTTTCAGACTTGAACATTGAGAAGCATGCTGGAGAATGTACAACAATGTGAACACACTTAGGACCTCTGATTGCTATGCTTAAGAACGGTTAGGACGGTAAATCTGACATTATGTATATTTTAGTAAATTTTTTTAAAAACTCCATCAATTCATGAAGAGATAAAAATTGGTACTACAGATTCACACATGTTCTGTTCCTCACTTGGAGTTGCCATAAACAAATCCATTTCAACTTGAAATAAGGAAACAGATTTTAACTAAAGTTGTCCTACCTGACAGGAGAAGCCAGCTGTGCCAGGAGGACAGAGACAGTTCTCTAACAGAGATGCCACCTCTCCCTCGGGATGCAGCTCAACTGCCTTTCTGCCAACCTCCATCGAAATATTTGAGATTCTGTGCACACAGTGTGTGAAGAAGTGAGGGGGGAAAAGTTAACAGTTGATAAATTCCTTGGAACACTCCATGTGACATAATATTTGCATATATATTAACCCAGAGATCCCCTCCCAGCTTGGATTACTTATGATTACAAACAAAATACATTAAATTGCATTAGCATATCATTACACAGTGAAGGTCCTCAGACAACACTTTAGAGCTTAAAAATGTTACAGAAAGTGCACCCAAAAGCCCTCTTCAAGTACTGGATTGCTCTATTAACTTCTATGGGCCAAAGAATAAAATGAGTATGACATTATTCTTTATACATCATTACAAAAAAATGGACATTGTAGCTTTCAAGGGCAGAAAAGAGTAATGTCTCTTATTTTTTACATTAGATCTTCATCTAAGATTCCACCATGATGGACTTACAGTTTATATACACACTAGCATGGTAGGTGGGTAATTTGTAATTCACACATTCCATTCTGTAAGGACATTGTCATACTTTGGATCTGAAATGCACAGAAAGGTGCATGGATTCTAAGCATGGTCCTCAGCTGACAGTGCTATTGGAAGATGGTGGAAATTCTAGGGGTAGGACCTAGGTCACTGGGGCTGTGCCTTTGAAGGGCTTATTCTGTGCTCAGACCCTGGATCACTCTCTCTCTCTGCTTCCTTGCTGCCACTAGGTGAGCAGTTTTTTTCTGCTTTGCCCTTCCGCCATGATACTTCTGTCTTGTCACAGGCCTAAAAGCAACGGAGCCAGCTGACCATGGACTGAAACCTCTGATGCTGTGAGCCAAAATGAGCCTTTCCTCCTTTTGAACTGTTTCTCTCAGGTGTTCTGTCACAGTGACGAAAAGCTGACTAACACAGATATTAATACTTAACCAAGTTCAGATAAGAAATAGATAACAAATTAATGAAGATGTAGGTAATGGAAGTGAAGTGAATCAAATCCTTTTGGTTCCATGTCAAATGGAACAACCAAAGTTCTAGAAGCTTCCAAGTACCTGCTTTGCTGTAATCCTTGACCATACGATGCCTTGATAAGAATGTACTCAATATTGCTGAGGACAGACATAAAATCTGAGTGTGTGACTGGTTTCTCAGAGACAGAGTTAAAATACTTCCAAAAATCCTGTGGATGAGAGATATACTAAATCAAATTCAGAGCACAAACTTTCCTTGGCATCTGACCTCACAGCACGCATGCCTAGTTCACTAATTTCTTCAGAAATCAGCTCTATGCTGGGCATGCCATTAAGTTTAACTGACAAAGAGCTGCACTTTTCAATAGACAGATACCCATGGCCCAAGCCAGGGCCAGCCACTCAGTGAACACTCAACAAACATCTGCTAAAGAACAGACACTTTCCAAATTTAGCAAGTCTGAAGACTTCTCTGCCATTAGATAGACACAAGTTGAAGCTAGCATACCAAGATCAGATGCGACTCCCACTAAATCAACCAAGTCCCCCCTGAATCTGGGGGGCACATTCTGAGATCCCCAGTGGATGTCTGAAAACTCACCTAGTACCAAATAGTATGTTTTTTTCCCCTATGACACAGTTTAATTTATAAACTAGGCACACTAAGAATTAACAATAAGTAATAGAGCAGTTCTCTTGTTGACATAGAACGTCGCTGAAGTGTGTTGGTTGGATTTGCTTCCTCCTAATTTTACTAAGTCACACTTTACTAGATTGACCTGGTAAAATTGTTAAAAGAGTAGGTAAGCCTACTCTTTTGCTTTGGGGCCATTATTAAGAAAAATAAGAGTTACTCAAACACTGGCACAGTGATTCTGTGACGGCTGATCTGGCATTGTTACTAGGTGACTAATGGGCAGGTAGTCCACACAGGGCGAACACACTGGATAAGTACAACTCCCGCAGGACAGAGCAGAATGGCATGAGATTTCATCAGGCTCCTCAGTATGGTGTGCCATTTAGAACATCAATTGGTTATTTCTCGATTTTCCCAGTTAATATATTTGGACCTCAGCTGACCGGAGTGACTAAAACTCCGGAAAGCAAAATCAATTGCAATTGCATCACACTGACAGCACAGTTCACATCTTTAAGGAACCCATGTGAAGAGACCACATCATCACCTCTTTCATTCCCACTTCTTGATCCTTTCTCACTCCGTTGTCTGGGGCTGGAGCATCCATGTAAATGACTTGCTTCCTGGTCCGGCCTCCTTTGATGAGAACTTGAGGCTCGTAATTAGAGGTGCCAATGCCATCAGAAGAGTAGAAGGCCACACTGTACCTTAGTTTGCCACCATAGGCCAGGAGCTAACAAATAATAAACACTTTGTTTATTTCTCTGGCACTGCCTTGGTTTAAAAACATTTTAAAGAAAGCCTGGAAGCTAAAAATACATCCTCCAGCTACTTGGGAGGTGGAGATAGGAGGACTGCCACTTGAGGTCAGCCTGGGCAAAAAGTTAGAGACCAGTATCTCAAAAACAAAGTGTGGTGGCACACGTCTGTACTTCAGCTGCTTAGGAGGCATAGGTAAGAGGATCATGGTCCGAGGCTAGCCCTGGGCAAAAGCATGAGGTGCTAGCTAAAAGGAAAAGGACTATGAGTGTGGTCCAAGTGCAAGGCCCTGAGTTCAAACCCTGATACAGAAAAAAAAGTACAATGGGTGAAATGTGTTGTTTGAATTTGCTTCCTTTTAATTTTACTTAGTCACACTTTACTAGATTAGCCTAAACTGTACTTCTTTTTTTTTTTATTCTTATTTTTTTATGAAACTGGGGTTTGAACTCAAGGCTTCAACTGGCAAAACAGGGGCTCTACCACTCGAGCCACACCTCCAGCCCATTTTACTCTGGTTATTTTGGAGGTAGGTGTTGAAGAACTATTTGCCACGGTTGGCCTCAAACCATAATCCTCCTGATCTCAGCCTCCCAAGTAGCTAGGATTACAAGCATGAGCCACCAGTGCCTGGCTGCTATACTTCTGCTTGATATAACACAGGTGAGCTCCAAAATGACCCAATGCAGGAATGATTCTAGGTATTTTCAAGGTCTTTTGAATTCAAAATCATCTATATTTTAAATATTTTTGAGATATATTTGCAAATTTTAAAGATCATGGTGAATTCACACATAGGCTCTGATGTCTGTATAAAGAAAAAATGCACACTCTGACTTTCATGACTTTTTTCAATATACGTATATGGAAATCATGACTGTTTTATAGTAAGCCCCTCCCCCTGCACATACAGCACCTTCGCTTGCACTGAGCTAGCAAATCTGTGTTTGTTTAATGTCTGCTTTAGGATGGAGAAAAACAGTCTGATTCAAACTTTTGCAAATACTTGAGAAATTGATGAAAAATGTAAAGATCCATGCACATGTAGAGACTGTTGTAAGTGTTGAACACCTCCTCCTCGCTTAGAAGAAGAATCAGTGGACTCAAGAACAGAATGGCAGTCTTGTGACTGCAAATGGCATCTATTAACCCCTAGGAGGGGGGCAGCTCTGGGCCAGGTGTGTGCTCACCTGGTCTCCCTGGAACTGCTCTGGCAACCGCCAATAAAACGGCTCTGCGTGGACGTGCTGATGGACAGTCTCAGCATCCAGCAAGATGTCAGGGGCCTGGAAATACACCCCCTCGGTGGTGCCCCTCAGGTCACTCAGTGACACCACATGCAGAAGAGGCCCATCAGGAGCCAGTGTCACCTAGTTGTCAAGAGAAGAAAGATACACTTCTGATTAGGAATGCAGCACCTGTGCTGGAGCTGTTGGATTCCCCCAGCCTTCCTCAGACACAAGAGATCACGACTCACACAGGGACAGGAAGGGCTTGCCTTTAAACTAGCCATCTGTACTAATATATCTGAAAGAGCTCCGCACTTCTGCAGTTAGGGCCCAGCTCTTGCTGCCCACAGTGGATGTGCTAGAGTTTTATCTTCTCACCCAGGGAAGCCTCTGAATAGATCAGTAAGGAGCAGCATGGAACATCCTCAGTTCCAGCCCGTTTATCTCCCTGGACAGCAGAGAGGAGCTCTGACTCACATCCTGACCCAAATCTGCAGCCCAGAATTAATAACTTACCTGACCCTCAAGGGCGAGAGGTTAATAGGACACTGCAACTGCGTGACTCACCGGGGTTCTCACGTAACCCTCCAGTTCTGAGCAGAGCTGTGACAGCCCAAAGCAGAAGCAGGGGCTGCACCCCAGAGGATCATCTGCACGCAGGGCGAAGGTGCCAACTCGACACTGGTGGCACTGGGGACCAAAGACATTCTCCTGAAGACGGACAGAAAACAGACTCCAATGACTCAGACAGAGTGGGACGGACAGACAGAGAGAAACTAGAGAGAGAGTGAGAGAGAGAGAGAGAGAGAGACAAATTTCTATACACACAGAGATAAACCACAAAAATAATTTTATTGATTTATTTATCTATCTAATACTCACTAAACAATTGCTCCACTACTTGAGCCACACTCATAGTCCTTTCGATTTTAGTTTGTTTATCAAGGAAGGTCTTGAGCTTTTGCCTGGGTCAGGCTCAGACTGATTCTTCTATCTCTGCCTCCTGAGTAGTTGGGATTACAGGCATGTACCACCATGCCTGGCCTACAAAAATAATTTCAGATCCTCAAACATCAAGAAACTCCCTGCTTCCTGAGGCAAGGTCCCCATCTCACCTCTGTAAGCATCAGCTCTCTCGAAGACTCAACCAGTGATTCCCAAAGATGACTGACTATCAAAATCATATCGTCTCGGAAGCATGGAAATAGAGATTTCACAAGAGAAGCTCCTGGGATGGCCTGAAATCCACCTCGATTCCTGAGGGTCACTGGTTGGGAGACCCCTGACCAGATGATTGCTGAGCCAGGCCCCTACTTCTCTTTTTTGTAATGATGTCTGTTGGCGTGAGACGTGGAAGCCAGCAGACATAACACATCGCTGCTTCCAGCCACGGCATCTGCATGACTTTCCTGTAATCTCCTGTCCCTCGTCAGCCCGTCACCCTCTGGTGGCAGCTCTCCTTTCTTGCAGAGAGCCCCAGAGAAGGTGGCAATGACTTCTAGTCACAAAGCACCATGGGAAAACCAATGAACACATGGGAGATTGAAAATGTCAGTGAAGTCTTGCCTCCTGAGGAAATAAGACACACGCATTTCCTTTACTCTGACTGGCCTATAATTACATGGCCAAGAGCACAATTACCTCATAGCTACAAAATCACAAATCTTCTTGAAACCCTCTTATCAATTTTATCCATTTATTCAAGACAGACTGGCTACTCAGCCCACTGGAACACATGTTAAAAAACTCACGTGTTAGGCTGCATGTGGTGGCATAGACTATAATCCCAGTTACTTGGGAGACCTAGATAGAAAGATATCAGTTCAGGGCTAGCACAGGCAAAAAAGTTAATGGGGCCCCTATCTCAATAAATAAGCCAGGTATGGTGGTGCACATTTATAATTCCATTTATGAGGGATCGTGGTCCAAAGCTGGCCAGGTGTCAAAAAGCATGAGGCCCTATTTGAAAAACAATTAAAGCAAAAAGGGCTGGAGGTGTGCCTCAAGCGGTAGGAACACCTGCCTAGAAGGCATGAGACCCTGAGTTCAACCCCCAGTACTGCCCCTCAAAAAGGGAAAACAAGTCAGTGTTTAAGTAGCTCTATCACCAGACACTTGCAATAAACAGTAAAAAAAAAATCCATCTTAAGAATCTTCCATCATGTCAGAAGAGCATACACGGATTTCAAAAGGCATAGGAGTGTGAACCCATCAGAAGAAATATTTAAAACCTCTCTGCTTACTTAAACAGCCCGAACCCACGATGGCAAGGAAGACAAAAGCCGAGGGTCCAGGACACACACCTTGCAAGAGCAGGCACCCGTGTCCTCTGCACAGCTGCAGACACCCTGTTCCAGGTCACAGGTGTCAGCCTGAGTGCCCCTGGGGTCGCAGTCACAGGATACACAGTCAGGAAAGCCTCTGTGACCCAAGGAGCACTGCTCGCAGTGCCACCCGCCAAACTCAGCCTTGCACTGGCACTGGCCAGAGAGCAGGTCACACTGGGGACTGGCGGAGCCCTTGTGGCTGCAGTTGCAGGCCTGGGAGAAAGACAAAACAAGTAAATGGAAAGGTGGCTCTGTGGTTTTTATAACTCTTGGATTCCAGGAAAGTAACAATGGTTGGATGTGGCACTGTCACTCTATGGGTTCACTTCTTCATGTGCTAATGGGGGACAGAGACTACATTCTGGGACATCTGTGCACCTTCATGACACCTGCACACTGGGCCAAAACTGTGAGCCAGAATTAAATCTAATAGGTCCGAACAGCATAGCAAAATTATTTCAGAGGCCAAGTAATTTCCCCACTGTTTTAAAACACAAACAATGCCTATATCTAAAGAAGAAAATGACTCATGGAAAACCAGAGCTCTCACCTATGTCACGTGGTCCCCTGTAAAGGGACTTTCTCTTGGGAAATATGACCCACAAAGACATATTTAAAGGGTAATAAAAAGTTTACATCTTTATACTTAAAGAAAACCCAAAATAAGGGATCTGAAGGGTGTTGTGTGTTTTATGTTTATTCCTACAATCTCTCTTGAGTTCTGTTTTATTTTTTCATTCATTTTCTTTAGATGGTGTCTCGTTACGTTGCCCAGACTGGCTGGGAACTTCGAGGTTCAAGTGATCCTCCTGTCTTTAACCTCCCAAGTAGCTGAGACTGCAGACATGTAGTCTACCTAGTTGTGCTGAGTTTTAAATATAAACCACTCAACTACTCCACAGGTTAAAATCAAGTGAGTGGATAGAAGAAAAGGAGAGGAAGTTGCTTTAGCAAGGCGACTCTCTGGCTGCACCCACCTGGCAGCCCCGCTCTGGGTCCCGGCCCCAGTGTGCCTCTTCGCACTCCTCACATTGCAGGCCCTGAGTATGAGGTGGGCAGAGGCACTCTCCAGACTCGGGGTCACAGTTATTGTGAGTATGAGCACAGTCACAGGCTAAAACAAAGATAAGCATCATTACAGATCTGGAGGATGTCGGCAATTAAAGGGGAAGAGCACTGACTTTTAAGTTATTTCCTTTTATTAATAATCTAAACCATTCTTCTGGCTCCTAAAACAGACTTCCTAATTCCCAAGATCCCTCTGTGTCTCATGGAGGATGCTGGTCCTCTCTGCTAGCACATCTTCTGGAAGAGTGGGACTGAGGGCAGAGAGGGAGAAATGGAGAAAAGATCCCAATGGCTGGCAGGACAGATGGAGCTAAGAATGCCATATGCCAAGGCCCATGTTAAGGACTGGCACACAGCCCTTACAATACCCACTCGAGGCAGGTTATAATGAGCACTGCCATGTTACCCGTGAGGAAACTAAGACTAAGTGAAATTTAGTAATTAATCCTTGCTCACACAGCGGGTCACAGAGCCAGGACCAACGTTTACTCTTGTACCCTGAAAAGGACCAGAAACGGCCAAACGGTGTAAAACCCTACATGCAAAGAAGAGAAAAAGTAAAGAACTTCATAGAAGTTAATCTGAAGTCAAGGAGGTGTCAAGAAAAGTCTGGGACAAGAAACAGACAGGGGACTCGAGACTTACGTGTACAGCCACCATCCTGGTAGGCATAGAAGCCATGTGAACACCTGTTGCACTTTTTCCCAGCTACACCTGGCATGCAGTGACATTGACCTTCATCGGTGCAGTTGTCTGATGTGGAGCCGGCAACGCTGCAGTTACAGGGCAGGCAGCCAGGCCCTGTGTCCAACCCATAATAGCCAGGCTACGTCACAAGAGGGAAAGAATCATATAAGCCAACATAGAACTGAGTAAATGACCACATGCACTAGGATGTTTTCTAAATCACACACAGGAAGTCCCCTAGAATCATAAAATACTCATGACAAGACACTTCTCCTTCGCCTGGTGAGCATGTGCTATCTAGGCGAGAAAGGATGCCAAGCAGCAGCCATGACCATGAAGTCAACTGCCTCTCGACCCAAGCTAAGGCACCAATCACATGTTCCCGACCAACACTCTCAAAGCACACACGATCAGTGAGCATCTTACCAGGCACTGGTCACACTGCCGTCCGGTCACGTAGGGTTTGCAGTCACAGAGTCCAGTGTCAAGATGGCACATGTAAGAAAGGGAGCCATTTTCATGGCACTCACAGGCTAAGGAACATGCAAGTGACAATTAATGATCATTTCTAGGTATGGTTATAGTAAGAGCCTTTAATTCCCAAAGAAAGAATTTTAAACATGAAAATGAAAACTACTGCAGGAATGGGGGGAGGAGGGTTAAAGGAGAATGATGGAGGGATAAATTCAACTATGATATATTGTAAGAACTTTTGTAAATGTCACAATGTATCCCTAGTAGAATAATAATAATAATAAAAACAAAGTACCAAATCACATAACATATATATGTGTATGTATATATAATTTTGTGATAACTAAAATTTTTGCACTTTTTAGATGAATAAACCAAAATAGAGTTGGTGGAAGTTATTAACATAATAGTTTACATAGATAATAACACTAAAGATAGTAAGATAATTACCTAATGTATCAATTTCATGAATATCATGGAATTTTTAAACTGACCTATAGATGTATATCAGAAAATTTCTATTATAAGATTTCTATTACAAAATTAATTTAGGACCCAGGCATGGTGCATGCCTATAAAGCCAGTACTTGGGAGGCTGCAAAAGTACTGAGAGTTCAAGGCCAGCCTGGGTCACACAGGGAAATCCTGTCTCAAAAAACACCAGCAAATAATAATTTAGCCATTCATTCTATTTCCAATTATACAACATACAGTTAATATCTTAAAGTGGAGTTACACCATAAGCTACGTAGTGTATAAATGAATACTATATTTTATAATTTAATGAAGAACATCTCCTTATAGTAAATCCTATAGTTTCAGGCTAGACATTTCAGTTTTATCCTGTTATATCATGAATATTTGAAGTTACAAAGTCCCCCAACTTTTCAGCAAAGCCTGGTAATACCAGCTGTGTGTATGAAATAATTTTTCTGTGTTACTGGCACCCTCTTGTGTCTCCAGGTTGTAATGTTATATTAACATCAGCATTTATATAACATTATCAACATTTATAATTGCTACTTTTATTCACCCACTTCTTTAAGGCTAGGCCAAAAAGCAGTTCTGAGATCTGAAATATCATCCCCATGGCTAGCTCATCTCAAGATGTGACGACTGACTTCTCAATGAGCAGTTCAAAATGCTCTGTAATTTCAAGACTCCAAGAAGACCTAAGCAAAGTGACATGGGGGTGGTAGTTCGTCTGTGGACCACCAAGATGTGCCAACACATCTTTAGTGACTTAGTGATTTTAGGGTAATAGTTTAGTGATTTTAGGGTAATAGTCTCACCACTTTCCACTCTCCATCGTGAAATCTCAACTGCCTCATGCAACCACAGAGCATCTCCTCACAAATGTGATCATGGTTCACCCCTTATTTCAGTCACTGGGAGCAGAGCTGGGACCCTGGAAAGAAACCCTTCTCCTCTAATGGACAGGTGTGTCTTTCTAGACCTCTGGCCTTCATGGACAGTAACTAGTCAAACTACCGTGAAGAATTAGATCTTAGATCCGTGTCTGATCAGAGACCAGCATGAACACAAGCAGCACTCAAGGTTCCCTCGCAGGCTGAGCCCATCTTGATGCATGTAAGTAGATGGATGCAGACTCCTAGTGTGACAGATAATGGCCTTGACCTCCCAGCCCATTCACTTACCATGGCAGTTTTTGGCAGTCACAGCATCTCCATAGAAGCCATCTGCGCACCTTTCACAGTGGGCACCGTCTGTGTTCCCCAAGCACTTCAGGCATTCCCCGGTGACAGAGTCACAGTGGCCAGCCTCAGAGGGGTTGACGTTGCCACTACAGTCACACGGTACACAGGATTCCCCAGGCACCGTGGGGTTTCCATAGTAACCATCTGCACATCTGTATCCAAGATGGAGAGTAGGATCAAATCACTGCAATTGCTCAAGACCTTACCCTATCTCCAGGGCCTCCCTGGATGGCTAATAAATCAGACTGGCTCTTTTCCAGATGATTTTCTGTGGAAAGAATGCAACTCCATGGAGAGGCCATCACAGACCTCCTTCACCCATTGCAATGATGGAGCATGTCCAAAATGAGCCATAAATCCAGTGTATGCGCATCTGGCTCTGGAGACAACTCCAACCCAATTCTGCTACTGGGGATGTCACCAGCCATCAACAGGCTGAGCCAGAGCTGAGCACTGAGATTTATGCCTGAGAAAAGCTGCCACAGGCTCTCAGAAGCAGAGCAAGACTACTGAATAAGACGCCTACTACCTTCACTACTACACACTGCAATGGACATGAAAATGTGTGAGCCCTAATCAGTGGCTTCCCTTTGCTTCCTACTGTTATTGAAAACTTGGACAAACTCCAGGAGACATATGCTCCTGGGTTCTCAAGATCCCAACCAAGTTTCAACATTAATATTTTCCAAAATTTATGCAGTCTTCTCTCTATGATTCTCTAAACTAATAATACACCAACACTTCAAAACTATACTTAATTACATATTTAAAAAGTTTGATCATTGTGCATTGTATACAGATATTGAATGATCGCACTGAATATGGAGAATTATTATGTGTCAATTAAAATTAAAAAGATTTAACAAAAAGCACATTAAATTTATATTGAATTAGAAGCTGATGTCAATGCTGCCTTCTGAAGTCAGCAGGGAGACACAGAGTACCTCTCGCACCAAGCTCCCGAGTAGCCCAGAGCGCACTGGTCACACACCACTTCGTCTCCATCTGTGAGGTGGCAGGTGGGGCTGAAACTGTGAAAAGATTAGAAATGAGTGTAGTTTTCCGGTGGACACTGTCAATTTCTAAATATTTAAAATGTTTACTTTCTTCTGCTGATACTCCTGTCCTTAAAACTTTCAACGAATTCTCAGTCCACAGCCCAGAATCCAGTCCTCTGCCACGCAGCCCACCCCGTGGGTCTCAGCTGTCCATCATCCCATGTTCCAGGCAAGGGATATTCATTACTTCCTGCTCCTCTGTCCCTCAGCCAACAGTGCGCTTGCTCCTCCTGTCTCTGCCTCAGTCAAGGGGCTCATCCACATTGCTCAGCTCAGCCACTGCCTCCTATGGAAGGACTGCTCGGCTGCCTCCGGTATGCTAGGTTCCTCTGTCTTGGGAGGGTTTCCAGGCACCATCTGTTTCTCCTTTGCAGAGCTAGCCCACACAAGGGAAGGGGTGAGCTTGCTCAGACACAATGCAATAATGATTGGGTTTTCTGTGCCTCCCGAAGGACCCTGTGACTAACAACAAAGTCCACTGCCGAGCGTCAGGGACATGTGCGTGGGGACAGTAGACAGCACCCTACCACCTCATCATGAGTGTCCTGCTATCATTTGAGTATGGTGACTGGGTGCCCCAAAGTTCCATGTGTTGGAAGGCTGGTCCCTAGTGTGACAATGTTGACAAACGGTGGCCTTTAGGAGGTGGGGCCTGATGAGAGTTGGTGAGGTAATTCGGGGGCCCTCTGGAATGGAGTAAGGTAGTTCTCATGTACCCTGAGTTGTTATATGAGAGTGAACCTGACCCCTGAACCTCTGCTTCCCATGCTGCCACAGGGTCTCCCTCTGACACACGTTCCCACCGCTGTGACACCATCCACCATGAAGTCCTCGGCAGAAGTCAGCACCATGCCCTTGAGTGTCCACAATGGTGAACTATATAAACCCATTTTCCTCATAAGATTTCCTGGGTAACTTATAGGAATACTGGTCTTTCATGATAGCAACAGTAAATGGTCTGACACAGCATTTGTGTTATATACTGGGGTTTCAAAAATACCTTCCCGTGGGGAGCTCACCAGGAGAGGGTGGAGGAGGAGTGCCAATGGTTAATCAAAGAAGAGAGAGAGAGAAGTTTCACACCACCGGCCTGCAGGGCACACATGCCCCAGCAGGACGTAATGGCCTTGCTGCCACCTCCCTGCCTGCTTTCTGTCATACAGTCATCTGCAGCACCTCAAACGGGCATGCATGTCCGTGCGATCCTGCCACAGCGCCCTCAGTTTCTCCTTCCTGGGATGCCCTTCCTCAGTCATCCTTGGACGCCCCCAGATAGGCTTGCCACTGTCCCCTCCACACCACTGCCTGGTGGACCAGCCTCCATCACAGTCCTGACTGCTCTGTGACTCCCCAGGGTCAGCAGCCATGGACAAACAGAAAGCTACTCAGATCATCGGCTCTGACACAGTGGACATGTAATAAATATTTGCCGGATCCATGAAAGAACTCACACCTCTCTCATTTAGCCTCATATTTTTGCTCATTAGATCAAAAACTTGCTAAAACCAAGGACAACATGGTAGTACTTATCTCTGTATCCAGTTTACCTCCTGGCCTGGTGGTAGATGCCAAATGTCCATTTGCAAAAGAAATTATGAAACATTAGAGAAGAACAAAGTAGGCACCTCTCCTTGCTATCACACTCCTTTCCTTACATAATTCAACACAACAAACTTCTTTAAAGAAGATAACTCACCCCCTCCTTCTCCAATCCTAATCAGATACCACTGGGGAAGATTCACACTCATAGCACACCCAGTCTGGCTCTGGGGACACTTGAACACATCTCACTGGGAACCCCAGCCCTGCCAGGCAGGACCCTCCAGTGGAAGAACGAGGGCTTACTTGTTGGAGGCTGTGGAGAGAGGGCAGGCGCAAGGCTGGCAGTCCCCAGGTGTGCCTCTTGAAGGCATTCCATAGAAGCCAGGCAGACACTGCTCACAGTGGTCCCCGCTGGTATTGTGTGCACACGCCTAGGACATGAGCAAGAAAAGAGCAGTGAGCTCAGGGTTCCTTAAAGGATTTTCAGATGCATCTACAAAGAATCTCGAGTCCGAGTTAAAAAAAAAAAAAAAGACACAAGACTAAAACAAGTTGCCACTTTAAGTGAGGAGGTAAGGTTACTTGTTTTCAGATGGACTCATTGTTTTAAAATGTAGTAATTGAGTATTTTATGGGAACTTGTGTTTTCACTCTATGTCAAAGCATCTGGTAGCCGACTTGTCTATCCTTAGGAAACAACTAGAAAATGGAGTCAAATAGAGCAACACTGGCTTCAGATGGGGGACAATAGCTAGCAGGTGTGTGATGACAAAAGTGTCTTTCTACATGAAGACACCTGCTGGGTGGGGAGCCCAGGCAGAGCATAGAGGCCAGGCTGAGTGGAGGAGATGGAAATAGAGGAACAGAGGTCAGAGTTTGAAGGGGCTGGCTTTGGGGGATGGGGACAGAGTGCAGGGGCTTTTTAGAATAAGAGCTCCAGAATTCTGCACAGGGAATTCCTTCCTTAAAGGAATTTAAGGAATCTTCACTATTCCTTAAATAGTTAAGATGCTTTGAAAAGAATGAAACTACACATTGCCAAAGAAATACAGGTGAGCTATAAAGAGGAAAACTCAGAACTCGCATGGGGCCAAGGGACATCAGAATCTGACCAGCCAGGGTGGAGAGGCCCTGAGAAATAACCCATGGAGACACCAAGAAAAAGTGGTGTCTAAACCTCCTACAGAACCCACCACAACAAAGCTTACAAGCAGTCCTTGAAACAACGGAGCTGCCTTTGAAACCATTTTGCTGCCTGTCAAAACAAACTACCACGTTCTTTAAAGGAAAACAACAAAATCCAGAAACTCAGCAAGGCAACAGTAGTCACTAGACAATATTCATCAGGCCATGAAAACGAGTGGATCTACTCCCAGTGGCCAGTTCCGGATTGACGAGCAGCAGGGAAGTAAAGGAGCATGGGAGAGGGTGGTGGGAAAGGATTCTGCCACGTGATGCTGCAGGCCACTGTGAAGCATGGGGGAAAGGCTCAATTTGGAGAGTTGTCCTTTTGCAGCTCTGATGTAAATACCAAGCAGGCAAGACTCACCAGACTGCTAAGTGCAAAGGAAAATTCTGGTAAGGAACAGCACATTTGCACGTGCTTAAAGTGTCTCCCTCAGATTGTCTGCTAATTGCAAAAAGGAAGAAATAGAGCTAGCACCTCAGTGAGGGGGAGGACACCATGGACTTCCCTGGAGGAGGAGGGTGTGCTCTGGGAAAGACTCATCAGGAACGAAGCATTCTGACCTGAAATGCACTCTGACTCTACCCATAGGAAAACAAAAGGAAGCAAAGTGAAGGGCTTCATTCTTCAAGGTGCCAGTGTCATAAAACACCAAGGCTAGGGAAATAGTTCAGATTCAAGAGGCCAAAAGAGACATGATGATAAAATGCAGAACCTGATCTGCCTGGAGGCTATCCTGGAGGGACAAAGGCTACACAGGACACACTGCTTAACAGACAAAAATGAAAAATGGATGGTAGATTAGAAAGAGAGCACCAATGTGAAATTTACTTAAGAGTTGATAACTATATGATAGCTATGTAAGAGAACACGCTGGAGTACTTAGAGATAAATGGACTTGGTGTTTGCGGCTTACTCTCAAGTAGTTTTCAAAACAGATCTGATTAGATGGATGGACAGATGGATGGACAGACAAATAATGAAAATGATAGTTTGAATTAGGGCAATGTTAACCATAGGGGACTCTGGGTAAAATGTAGGTGTTCTAATTCTATTCTTACTCTTTTTCTTTGGAAGTACTGGGGTCTGAACTCAGGGCCTTGCTAAACAGGCTCTTCACCACTTAAGCCACTCTGCCAGCAATATTATTCTTAAAACCTCTGAGTCAAATTAAAATTATTTTCAAGGACAAGGTTTTTAAAAATGGGGAACAAAATCTACAAACCCACAAATTCTAGAGGCTCAACAAACACAAGCAGACTAAGTAATAATAATAATAATAATAAATGCCCCAAAGCACATAATCAAATTGTTCAAAACCAGGGACAAGGAGAGAATCTTAAAAACAGGCAGGGGAAAACAAACAGTATAACACTGAGAATGATGGGTCATTTCTCATCTGAAATAAGCCAAGCCAATGTCAGCAGAATGACTTTAAAGTACTGGGGGAAAATTCTGCAAAGATAGTTTTCAAAATCGAAGGCAAAACAAAGCTTTTTCGAGATAAAAGAGAAGAGAATTTGTCAGACCTACCTAGAGAAAGCTAAGGACAGTTGCTCAGGTTGCAGAAAGATTACACATATTGAGTATCACTTATCTGAAATGCACAGGATCCTCGTGTTTCAGACAGCAGGTCTTTTCAGGATTTTGAGGTATTTGCATATATGAAATAAGATGTATTGGGGATGGGATCCAATTCTAAACAACAAATTCACTTATGTTTCAAGTATGCTTTGTACACATAGCACAAGGTAATTTTATACAATATTTTTAGTAACTTCATGCATGAAACAAAGTTTCATGGTGTGGAATTTTTCACCGTCAGTAGGATATGGACAGAGGAGAGGAGAAAGGCGATGGCCAGGTGTGAGGGCCAAGTGTAGGGCAACCCTAACCACCTCACAGCTGCCTGGCTCAAGGCAATGCTAGGCCTATTCTCACATGCTTCTAGGTCCCACTTTGCCGTGGCTCAGTTTCCCCAGGTCCATTGCCTGTATTGACTTTACCTATCATCTCTGCATACTCTGCCTGTACCCAGTCTTGAGCCCCCACCTACAAGGCCTCCCTTCTTGGTGGCTCCTCTGAGTCACACATTTTATATACTTTGGTTATTTCTCATCTATCAATTTAAATAGTATGTCCAGTTTCTAAACTATTTATGTTTCTCTAATTCCTGAGGTGGAGAGATGTTTTCCCCTATATTAAATTTAATTTTGTACAATAAATAGCTGGTATTATATCCATTTATACCAGGGTTTTCCCAGTTTTATTTAGGGTCATCCTACACCACAGCTTCTGAACTCAAATATGGACACAAACTGCCTGGGTAACCTATAGATTCCAAATCAGAGATGGGCCCTGAAATGCTGCATTTCTTATTTCTTTTTTCTTTCTTTCTTCTTTTTTTGGGGGGCAGTAAGAATGAGACCTGAGGCCTCATACTTACTAACAAAGCACTCTTCCACTTGATCCCCAGTTCCTTTGTTTTGTATTTTGGTGTTGAGATAAGGTCTTGCTAACTTTGCCTAGACTGACCTCAAACTCGTATCCTGCCTCCCAAGTATGTGCCACCATACTTGCCAAGACTAAATTCCTAACAAGTTTCCAGGTGATACCCTCATGGAGGAAGCAACATTTTAGCCTTTTTTCCTCTCCACACCCCCATATGACCTTGGCTTTGATCATTAACCCACATTTATTTAAAATGCAATCAGCTTTGGGAAATGACGACATGGTTGAGCGAAGAGTATTATGCAAAATAACTGCAATTTTGTTTTAAAAATACCTCATCATTCATTTATAACCTGCACATAGGATGTTGTCTGATCAAAGAGGGAGACTGGGCCTTCCTTCTCTTGTAGTAAACTCTAGGCAATCCTTCTGAAAAACCCTCAGAGTCCCAGGCTCAGTGTGTTCTCAGGCCTGTGCTGCCATCCACTGACATTGTCAGTGGATCTGTGGTAAGCAAAGTTATAAAAATGATCAGCTGTCTGGGAGGAGAAATGGCTTTTCTCCACTGGAAAAGGAGACACGGGCCCAAGACACGTGTGATACGTGGCACTGCTTGATTTTCTTGAGTGCTGCACCACACGGGAGCAAAATCAGGTTCTCCAAACCCGAGTGAGAGCTTGGGAGCAACAGGACCTTCTTTCTAGAAGATGATGAGAAAGAGTTAAGTCCTGAAGCCGGATACCATGCATGAGGCCCTGGGCTGTGAACAGTTCTTTTCCAAAGAAAATAATAGAAAGAAAGTTGAATTAAACAGGTAAACGATACTACTGCTTTTATAGTCCCTTAAATTCTCATCTAAGTTTTTCTTGTTACCTCCTCTCCCCACTGCAAAAAAAATTGTTTAAAAGGAAAAAATAGTAACTTGATGGTGGAAAGTGCCAGTGTCACGAAAGGCAAGGAAAGATGGAGCAGCTGTCCCAGAGCAGAGGAGACATGGCCACAAAATGCCCAGTGGGGTCCTGGGTTCGATCCTAGAGAGGAAGAGGGACAGGAGCGACAACACTGGTGAAATGGGAGCAAAGCGTGGGATCAGTCAGTCACCTGGTGCCAACACGAATGTCTTAGTTTTACAGTGACCCTGCTGCAGTTATGCATGACATTGACAGAGGACCACTGGTATAGGGGACTGCTGGTAACGATGACCCAGAAGCTCTCTGTATTATCTCTGTATTATGCCTGCAGCTACCCTCTAAGTCAAAAGTTGTTTCCAAAACAATGCTTAAAACTCTAAAAATTACTTATTATAAGTAGAGCTTTAAGAGCATCTGCTATTTATACTAAATATATACCTCCCATTGAACAAGAGTTCAACTATTATCTAATGTTAGGTATATACCATCTGTATACTCAGTACATATTTTATGTTCTTAGCATATACTTCTGTAAATACACATCGATAGAAGACGAGAAATCCACCCTTTCAGACCCAACTGTAACTAAACCACCAGGGACACAGTCCCAAGATCAAGATGCTGACCAAGAAATGTTGGCTGGAGACCTGGAAGTCTGGCTTGCCAACTCAAGTGGCAAAGTAAAACACAAAACCAAACAAAATGCAAAAAGAAAAAAAAACAACCTCCCCAGTCACTGGGAGCTATACCCCAGAGGAAGCCCGTCCTTGAGGAACCAAGTCACCTGCAAACCAGCCCAGCACTGAATTTCTACAGAGGCCTCATTTCCATTCTGGAGAGAGGAACACAGAACAAAGTGAAGCTTTACTTACAGGAGAAAGAAAAACTGGGCTCTAACAAGATAAGTCTTCCAGGGCCTCAGGCCTCAGATCCTTTCTATGGGTCTGGTAATTAACTTTCCCTAGCACTGTGACTCAATCATTCGCTTTCCCAAGGAGCATGAATGCTCCCCTGCCTGGAGAGTACAGCACACAGCTTATTACCATATGCATTCACTCCATCTCTGTGGAGCGAATCCATTAGAACCCACAGGGTGGCCAGGCTTCAAGCAGAAAGGCCTGTAAGAATTCCTGATTGAGGATAAAAAAACAAGTCTTGCCCTTACCTGCTCCCAAGTTTATTCTCAAGATAAACTACATATTTGTTGAGTCCTGTTTCAGCTCCTGTTGCTTAGAAAGAGGTGCTTGTTTGAGGAGTTTTTCTGAACTATCTGTAAAGCGTCATATATTTTACATAATTTGTAGTTACTAGATATTTTACTATTCCTCTTGAAATTTACGATGTACTATGTGATGTTAAAAATACTAACACATTCATTGAAAAGATCAATCCTTTGTAATAATTGGTGGGCAACTTTTGTACCTTTATACTGCTTTGTAATTCTGCTAAGTAGGTAACTATTTTTCATGGCACTAATGATTAAAAAAAAACAATATTACATACACCTTTTCCCCTGTAGGTTGTGCCTCCCTTAACCACAAGTGCTTTGGATTTGTTTGCTTGTTCATTTGTTTTTCCTGGGATGAGGGTTGGGAAGTATTTGCAAATGCACAAAGTGTCATTTTGGGGATGGGATCAAAGTCTAAATATGAAATTAATTTATGTTTCATGTACACCTTATAAACACAGCCTGAAGGAAATATTACAGGATAATTTTCCTCTGGCTGCATTTTGACTCTGATTTTTCACACAAAGCCAGGCATGGAATTTCCTACTTGTGGCATCATGTCATTCCTCTCAAGGTTTCAGATTTTGGAGCTTCTCAGATTCTGGATTTTCAGAATACAGATTTCAATTTGTTCTAGTAAAGTAGCTTTTTTTTTTTTTTCCAAAAAAACCAAAAAAGGTTAAAGAAAAAGCAGGAGAGGTTTTAAGATACAACCTTGAATCTGCAAATTTCCTTTGGAGTCTCCAAATTCACTTCTGCACCCCAAGTGATCTGGAGTGGGTGGGAGGGGGGAACCTGAGGTTTCAGCAATAAACTCACAAAGCAAATGCCGTGAATGTCGCACTCTGAGGCATGGCCATGGCACTGACACGGCTGACAGATTCCTCCAAACAGTATTCCATCTACTCGATAATAGCCGGGGAGGCAGGACTGCAAGAGAAGGGAAGGAGGCGATGTGTTCGTGAGTCTGACAATGTACACTGTACCATGAAAAAACATGCCACTCCACTTCCCATGAGCACAGAAACATTTGTTTCTATTTTTTAAGCATCTTCATTGAGATGTCACTTTCACGTCGTAAAGTTCTTCCATTGTAATAGCAATTCAGTGATTTTTCGGTGAACTTACAGAACTGCACAGCCAGCACTCTAATCCAGTTCCATTTCATTTTAAGGGTGGAAACACACACACACAAAACTTAGTGGCCATGCCATGTGACAGCATGCTCCTTAGTGGCACCTCACTGTCACACTCCTAACTAGAAATGACATAACACTGTCCGGCCAGTGTCTCCTTCAGAAGTCTTTCCTTTTTCTCTCTCAACTGCATTTTTGTCCCCTTTGCCTGCAATTCATTAAAGGTCACCAACAAACTATAATATACATGTTTAACAGCAGGTCTAGGTCAGGCTGCATCCGTTTAATTGAGCAAAGGCTGCAGGTGTGATTTCCACGGGATCAACCCAGAGAGGCAGGTGGGCATCCAAGGCCTGCCTTTCAGGAGTGGGAAGCCAGGCACACACTGCAAGGCATTAACTCCCATGACACCTCTGCAAATCAGCATCTCTGCTTTATAAATAGGGAGTGTGGCACACAGATAGTTACACAGTGCCCAGTGTGTCCATGGATAATTCAGTCAGGTGAGTATACCTTGAAGGTCATGTCCATAGCTGCTAAGGGCTAAGGCTCCAGCAGACACAAAACACCTTTACAGAGCAGGCGTGGGAAGGATTTATGTGGAAGTCAGTACCCTGCCCGGGAGGAGTGGCAGGAGGGGGTTGAATTTGCTTTTTGTTTTCTTTAGGAACTCTTAAAGAATATTTTAATTATACAAATATCATTTAAATACATTCATTCTCACAGACACTATGAAAGTTCCCACACTTCTTGGCCCTGTTGTGCACCCCTTGGGAAGGGGGCTCACTGCTTGGGAGGCAGTGCCTTGGGGTCTACGTGGTGGCTCCCAGTGGAGAATTTCCTCCCCCAGCAAAGCTGCCTGGTTCTTGAAGTCAGCTTCTGAGTAACAGTTTGATTAAAGAATGGGTTCTTCTGACAGACAAAAATGCTCACAGATGGGTACAATCCACCCACCATAATCCCAGGACCCTGTCCAGGGAGACTCCTCCCCAGACAACCATAGGAACGCCTTGTCTGCACTGAGCACGTAGACTTTCTTTTCTTGTCACTATTTCCTAAGCAATAAAGTAGAACAACTATTTACACAGCATTTCCTTCCATAGGCATTTTATGGAACCTAGAGGTGGCATAAAGTGTATCAGGAGGAAAAGTATAGGATCTGTGCTCAGGAATGTAACTTTGTGAGTGTGTAGGTTATATGTAAATGTTACACCTCTTGCAAATTATCTATAAATGCATTTAAATTGTTTGGACATAGTGTTGATAATAACTCTCTCTGACGGAGAATACCCTATTTTATTTGGCAGTGTTCGAAGGTCTATCCACACGTCACCTCATTAAATTCTAACAACCATGTCTGCTAAGTACTCTAGATACACAGCCTCCTATATTTTTTAAATAGTCTCTCAATGACCTCTACTACCTACTACAATGTAAATGCCAAGTAAATAGTTTTTGTACTATATTGTTACAAAATGATGACAAGAAAGTCTGTACATGTTTAGTACAGACAAAGTTTTTTTTGGAATGTCTTTAATCCATGGTTGGTTCAATTCATGGATGCAGAACTTGTGCTACATATGTGAAGTGGAGCCCACCAGAGTAAATAGCCAGGGACTATAAAAAAGTCTCAAAATAGGCCTGGCTTGCTTGAAGCTGTCCTTGTCTTGCACAAATTATAAATGTTCAGATAAGCAAATTCAATCCTCCTTAGAAATGCAAAATCTGGGCCGGATGTGGTGGCACACAGCTATAATCCCAGTCACTCAGGAGGGAGAGTTAGGAGGATCATGGTTTGAGGTCAGGCCAAGCAAAAGTGTGCGATCCAATCTGGAAAAATAAACTAAAAGGACAAGGACTGGGGTGAGGCTTAAGTGGTGAGCACTTGTCTAGCAACCACGAGGCTCTGTGCACTGCAGAAAAAATAGACAAACATGCAAAATCCAGCACAGGGATTGCAAGTTTCCGATGGACTGAGGCAAGAATGCTGCACAAAGTCAGGTAATTCCAGTTACTCCAATGCACCCCTGGCAGAGAAATCTGATTGCTTTAAATAATGCGATGCCCAGTATTCCTGTAATCCGATACAGTCTAAAGCACACACTGTTTTCTAAAGTTAAAATTCCAAAGTGCATCATTAAATCAACTTCTGTATACTCTTTCCACTTGGGAAAGAACAAAACAAAAGGAAGGAGACAGGCAGGGAGGCAAAGTCATACCTCACAGGAGGTCCCTATGTGGCCATGGGGACATTCACAGTGCTCCACGTCAGTGGCTACTGCCAGGTCGATAGCATTGGGGCTCGCCGTGTCCACAGAGACAGAATCCAGCCTACAAACAAATAGGCAAGAGTCCTATGTGACTCACACACTGCAAATGACATCTCTCATCTCAGTGAACTGAGACTCCTAAAAGATTTAGTTTAAACAAAATGGTCATGGGATTTTTGTAAGTCCCTAAAGATTGCCACAACAATTCACCCTGGGGAATACATCATTGTTCTCAGGAAACACTTTCAACGTTTATTGCAAAATGTGCTACTGCCAGTACACTGCTGGGAGAAAGGTCTGATGTCGTCTGTTTGGAGCTAAATCATTTCACAGAAATTCATCCATTCCATCACTTTTTCATGAATACAGAGAGGAGCCTGAAGTGAGATATCCCATGTTTGCTTTAGTGGCATCTGACTTTTATGCTTCGCTAGGAATTGTGAGAAACTGACCTCTTCAAAGTAATAAAATGACCAAAGATGGACACATTAGCTTAAATAACTGTACAAAACTAAGACCCTTAGCACCAGGAGAGAGAATGAGATGCAACACAGTCCAGGCAACGTCAGCTCATCAGCATTCACTGGAAACACACTGAAAATCTCTGAACCTAAAATCAAGTCTGTTTCCTGCTAGATACATTTGCCATCACACTTAGTCTTATGTATTCAATGCAATTGCATTTCTAAAAATAACAATACAGCTGGTTCCTTTAACTGTGCCCTTATGATAAGCTCAAAATATATAACAATAGAGACAAGATTGTAGTCCTTCCCCTTAACGTCCCTTCCCATTTCAGTACCTACCTGTAAAGAGCCATTTTCGCAGAATTGTAGTTGGCTCTGATCAAGAGATGTGTCACATTGGCAAGGAGGGTCATGAACTGATCGCGATCAACCTCCTTTTTGGTGTTAAAGTCTCGGAAGTTCTCAGGCACAAGTCTAACCATGTTGAAGTACTCTTCATAGGGTTGCAGTGAGAGGCCTTCAGCCTGGGTGCTCAAAGTGAGTCCATTTCCCTAGCATTTAAGGACAAGAGGAAAGACACCTATAATGCAGCTGGGCACCAGTGGCCCATGCCTATAATCCTAGCTACTTGAAAGACTGAGATGAGGAGGATTGAGGCTTGAGGCCAGCTAGGACAAATCATTCTCAAGATTCCATTCCAAACTAACCAGAGTAAAATGGGCCGGAGGTGTGGTAAAGTACCTGCTTTCAAGAGTGAAGCCCTGAGTTCAAACTCTGATTCCACAAAAAAAAAAAAAGACATCTGTAATTCAGTTTAATGACCCAAAATAAACTTTTTATCTAGCAACGTGGTTTCCATGATTCTTGTGGCAAACCCTCAAATCCTGAGTCCAGAATGACTTAAGAAAAGGTGCTTGATTGCATTCCTTGCAGACAATCCCAACAACCAATCTGAAGACAGTATACGAAGCCGGAATCGTGGAAGACACGAAGTCATGCATTTGCCTATAGTTTTCAACAAAGCAGCCATCTCACATCCTTAATCCTTACAACAGAAACAGAGAAAACTATGGACAATAACTCTAGCTCCAATTTTTCATAAATTTTCTGTTAACTAAAGTGATTTACCAGCTGGGTGTGGTGGCTCAGGCCTGTAATCACAGCTATTCAGCAGGTGGAGACTGGGAGGAGTGCGCTTCGAGTTCAGCATGGGCAAAGTTTGTGAGACCCCATCTCAGCCAATAAGTGGTGCATGCTTGACATCCTAACTATGTGAGTAGCATAAATGGGATAATCACAGTCCGGAGGGGCCAGGGTACAAATCTGAGACCTTATTTGAAAAATAACTAAAGCAAAAAAGGGCTGGAGGTGTGGCTCAAGAGATTAGCAAGGCTGAGTTCAAACTCCAGTACCACCAAAAAAAAAGTGATTTACCTTTCCCAGTTTCCAGCTGTTCAGGTTGGCACTACTGAATGGTCACCTGACCACACTGACCTTGCTGGGACCTCCTGTCTCACCATTTGCAGTCATCAAACTATCACCCATCCTGAGCTCTACCACAAAAGCAGTGGTAATAGTCACCTTGATGATGACGTCGGTGTGAGACATGAGGTCACTGTCCACTGTCTCCACTGGAATGTCGTAAGACACAGTGTATTTCAGGAAGCCACCAAATGCAGTCAGCTGGAACAGTTAAATGAGAGTGAACACCAAGGAGTACAATGGTCATAGCTCCGAGTCAGAGCAAGTGTTGAAAGGACACACCTGGATACAGCTAGGCTGCAAGCTAGCCCAGTGGCCAGCACAGCCAAAAGCAGATGATACAAAATTTCATTTAACTGATATTACTATGTTGCAGGATATAAAAATGGTCTCCTGCTTTTTATGCAGGAAATGACTACACATCTTTGTTAATGTGCAACAGACATCTACTCTACTTAAATGATTTGGGGTGGATTTGACCCATGACTACAATCTCAGCATTTTGATTTCATTGCCAGCCTTGCAGGAAAGTAACATCCTAGATCTGCTATTTAAATGAAGGACTGAAAGCATTTCTTCCAAATCAGATGTCCTTCCATGTAAACAGAGACTTTTTTCTTGATGGATGTGTCACAGTGAGATAATGTTCAGAATCCAATTTTATAGTCACATAAACTTTCAAGAGAAAAAAAAAAAGCAATGAACCTTGGTTATAAGATCATATTATAAAAAGAGCATAGATCTCCACTATATGATGGAAAAATAATCATTTTCAAAAATAAATACTCCTTAAAAATACACGTTAGAAAATATAATAATCAAATTAACTAGAAACTTATAAAACTGTAAGACTACACTATTAGGAAAGTATAACATTGTCTTAAAACAAATTAAACTCCCAAGGGAGTGGGGAGCTACAGTTACTAAGATAGGTTCTCCCAAATATCTCTCCCAATCAATCAGAACCTAGAGAGGAGGGGACAGGGACACATCGTTGTAGGGAAAGTTTAATCTCCAACTTTGTAGGTGATCAGCATCATAGATCATCATCTTGCACTCTTACAATTAGGACAGACAGCACTCCATCTGTTTCTATCTGGACTTTTATGTGAGTAACAGCCTGTCCTGGGACTGAAACAGAGGGAGCAGAGCAAAAAGACCCATTGCAGGAAGCTTCCCTGAGTGTTTTCTGTGCACCAGCCCCTCCACTAAGCCATGGGGTACTAGGCTGAGTGTACCACTAACTGTACAAAGTGGGAACACAATGAGCACTTCATAAAGCCCCAAGTGACCCAAGGACATAGAGGAAGAAAGTCGGCCATGGCAAGAAGGTTGCCCACCAAGTACAAGGTCCAGTGCTCAATCCCCAGTACCAAAAAAAAAAAAAAAAAAAAAAAAAGTCAAGAAAGATCAAAAAGATCCTATATATCAGATATAAATAAAGACTATGACACGCTGTCCCCAAACTCAAGTGACCCATAGGACTACTTAAAATGCAAACAGGTTCTCTGACCTTTACCACAAAGGTGATGGCATGCAGATACATACCTTATTTCCCAGGTAGGCCTCGGGGGCTGACCAGTAGGACTTGGAAGCCAGCCTCTGCATGACCACTGTGTTGTTGATACTGATCTGATGGCGCCCACCCCGCGTATCCTGCTGAGACTGGATCCTATTTGGACTGATCAAGTCAGTGACCAGCCACCCAGACATATCGCTCACCTTAAAATAAAATTTAAAAACCTAAAAGTTTTAGATTACGAAGTACAGGTCAACTTATATTTCACATAGTCCAGTGCAAATATCTTCACAATGAAGAGACAGACTCAAAGCCTAACTAGGGATGAAATTAACCAAACTTGCTATTGAACCACATGGCATGTGACCTTTCCTCTTGTCAAAGAACCCAGAAAAGCTGAGAACAAGTCACACATACAAAGCCAGATCAATATGAGCAAAAATAAAGGGACAAGATCATAAAAGCTGTAGGTATATATTTTTAGATATTTTTTAAATATCAAAGACTTCATTATAGGCTGAGCATCCTTAATCTGAAAGTCTACAATCAAAAACTTTTTGACCCAGGGTAGAAAATGTCACACATGACTCCCTACGATGGGTCACAGTCAAAATGCAGGTGCACCATGATAAACAGGTGATAAATCAAAGCTGTTGTAATGTTCAATGAAGGAAATCAGGAATCAAATGATACAAACAGCCTATCCATAACCAACAGTGTACTTTTTTGTTTTTTAAAGCTGGTGCCAAACAGCAATTGAAAAAAAAATGCAGTTGCACTAAAAATAGTATAAAATTACCTTCAAGCTATGTGTATGTTACATGAAACAAATGAGCGTCATGTTTAGACTGGGGCTCCTCCCAGAAAAATATCAGATTATATATATGCAAATATTCCAAACATTTGAAAAAGTCCCGAACCCAAAACACTTCTGGTCCTTGGTATCTTAGGTAAGGGATACTTAAGCTGGAAATGCACTGAATAAAATGTCTTTTGAGAATTCTGACTCTCCTTCCTCGTTGCCCAAATGCTGGAAAACATGTAACAACCATCTTCAGATCCTACACTCCCAGTTTTTCATTTACACAGAGATGGCAAATGCTCTGCTCAGGGTGGTGGCCACTGTAGTCAGTGAACCAGACAGCTCCTCCCTCATCTCTAGCCATCATATGCTGTCCCCTCTCCTTATCACCATTTGTCACCCTGATCTCATCCCCTCCAGAACTCCCCAGTCCCAAAACAACCTACCTACCTTCATAACCCCCTTCAAAAATCTCTCCAGCCTTCATAAACCCCTCCTACCATCATAGACCCTGTGCCACCTGCTATTGTTCCCACCCTTACCTCTGGAGTGCCTCCCCCCCCACCAGCTCTTTAAGGCCCCAGGTCCCAGTGGCCCGAGACTGGTGTGGGGGGGTGAGACCTGACCTTCCCTCTGGGCACAATTTCCCACAGAAGGAATGCAAACAGGACACATCTACTGTGTCACAGCATCCTATTATTTTGATAGGAATATGCATGTGGGAATAAACACAACTTAGAAAATACAGGGACACTTTTAGGAGTGGATAGCCTTTGATCTAGGCCAGTGTCGTTCCAAAATGGAGGACAGTGGTATTTCAGGGCAAGTCAGCTTTAAGGCAATGTAACACAGCCATAAGAGCTCATGAGGCCACCTGCTAATTAACCCACTGTGCCCAGTGCCTCCCACCTGACCGATGGGCCAAGAAAGGCTGTCACAGACATCAGAGACGCCGAAGCAGAAGCACTCAGAACAGCCCTGGGGATTTCTTTCCTTCAGGTTATAGAATCCTGGCTTACAGCGATCACAGTTTTTCCCCTCGACATTGTCCTGCAAGTTATAATAAAACATGAGCTGGTGAAACCGATGTGCCCAGATAGACAGAAGAAAACATCATTCATATGACGTGACTGAGAAGCAGTTTGGCAATGCACGGAAACGAACGAATAAATAAATAAATGCACACATGAAGCCTCAGGAAGTCACTATTTCCAGAACAGATATTTGGAAATAACTCTCATTTGATTTTGTAATCAAGAATAAGGCTGGGAATCTTACAGCCTGGTCTTTACATTTAAATGGATTGTTTGTTTTAAAGCTTTCATTTTCGCTGATTTACAGATTTTTTTATTTGCATGCTTGTTTCTTTTTTGAGACAAGGTCTTGCTATGCAACCAAGACTGGCATCATATTGTCCAGTGTCCGTCCTCAGCCTCCCATGAGCTGAGATTATACCACCATGCCCAGCTGGAAGAGAGGTTTTAAAATCTGAAGATGGCTATATACTTTTTGTCCTGCTCCTACATACTCAAGATTATTTTTAGCCACATAAAAATGTGCCTGAGACTACTTCCATGGGAATAAGCACATAGGTAAGGGGGAATCCTAGGAATTTCGGGGATTATGTTATTAATATCATATGACAATGACTGGGACCATACGAAAGCACTTCTTATGATTATACAATTCCTTTTTAGCAGGAATCCAAGATGACAGACCTGCATTTAATTAGTGTTCTTGGAAATTTAGTATTTACCTGGATCTCCTCCAAACACAAAGCTGGAAAAGAATGTCATAGAAGAATTAAGGCAAGGCCAAAGAAATGGTATTCAGTGTTGGATTTCACCTAAGAAGTTACAGAAATGCCTCGGGAATATATGGCCACTACCCTGAGGTACCAAACAAAGAAAACCAGGTGACAACCCAAGTTCAAGTACATACAACTAGCCAGCTCACTATGACATGGTACACTTAGGATGGGGAAATTTCTGCTTAAACCTTTCTGCTTTGCACAAGACCTGATCATCCCAGTTAGTGGAACATACTGTGTTTTCAGAGAACCACAGAAAACACTCAGGGGCATCTTTGACCTTCAAACTTACCTTACAAAGACACGGCTCTATGCAGGGATCCTCGTTCACACTGCCAGCTGGACTGCAGTCACAGCGGATGCAGCTTGGGTAACCCCGATAGCCAAACTGGCAGCGGTCACATTTTTCTCCTGCATAACCTTCCTTACATGGACACTGGCCCGGCCACTTCCCTGGGGAGAAAACAAAGGCAAGGACCCAACATGAAAGTAAAAGAGTTTAAGGCAGGGGTCAGCAAGCTTTCTCTGTATATTTTAGGCTTTTGGCCTAAATAGAGGCTCTGTTGCAACTATTCAACCCAGCCATTATTGCTCTAACACAGCCATAGACAATACATATGCAAATAGCCCCAGCTCTGTTCTAATAAAACCTTATTCATAGCAAGCAGAGTGTGAATTTGACCCATGGACCATTATTTGCCAATTCCTGATTTAAAGAAAGAAAACAGAAAACCCAGAGATGCTGGTGGCCATGCAGAAAAATATAGCAACCTTAGAAAACCCCTTGGTGCTTCTTCAAAACATTATAGAGCAATTATAGAATTACCACAGGATATAGTAATTCTACTGCTAAGACGTATAGCCACAAAAAAACTTGTAAATAAATGTTTATAGAAGCCTTATTTAGGGGGTTTGTACCAGTGGGAGGGGGGAAGATATAAGGAAAGGGTGTAGGGAGGTGAATATGGTGGAATATTATGTACTCATGTATGAAAATGGAAAAATGAGACCTGTTGAAACTATTCCAGGAATGCAGGGAGGAGGGATAAAGGGGAATGATGGAGGGGTGAATTCAACTGTGATATATTTTAAGAACTTTTGTAAATGTCACAATGAACCCCCAGTACAACAATAATAGTAAAAAAAAGAAGCCTTATTCATAATAGCCAAAAGGTAGGAATAACCCAAGTATGTACCAAGTGATGAGTGGATATGGAAATGTGACACACCCATACAGTGGGACATTGTTCAGCAATAAGAAGGAATGAGCTCTGATGCATGCCACAGCATGGATGACCCTTAAAATATTATACTAAGTGAGTGACATCAGTCACAAAGAACCATCCATAAGATGGTTCCACTCGCATGAAAATCCCAGAATAAACAAATCCATATGGAGAAAGGAGATGAGTGTGGGAGTTCTGCCCACACTGGAGAGGGTGGGGACAGAAAGTAGGAGTGAGGGTTAATGGGTAAAGACTGTCTTCGTGGGGTGAAGACAACATTCTAAGATTGTGGTGATGAACATCAAAAGCACTGAACTGCTGCTTGAAGTAAGTAAGTGATAGAAACAGTTTTTTAAATAAAGCACAGAGGCAAAAAAAAAAACAAGAAAAGAAAAAAATCAGCACCATTAGCACCTCTCTGAATCTCAGCTGTATAACCTTGGGTGAGTGTCTTACTGCTCTGAGCTACTTTCCTTGCCTGGGAGACAGGTGAAATAATTTCTGTATGCTATGGTTGAAAAGCTTAGGTGACATTTTTTTTAATAAACCCAATCAGGGTAACTGTCACCACCACCACCATCATTATCATCACCATCCTAACAGCAGTGACACAGAAGAATCAATTCAGCGTGCAACACGCCCTCCACTATTCTGACAGGCCCATCCTTTCCTGTTGGTCAGCAGTCACTTTAACTGCCAGTGGCTGAGAACCGGAGGGGGTCACAGAAGGCTTTGGAAAGATGCAACCCCTTCAGGGCGCTGTGGCATTTGCAGGTCCATTTACTAGTTTTTGAAGGGAAGGAACACTGACATGGACAACATTAACTGGAGGGTTTGCTTGCTTTGTGAGATGATGGATGAAGAAGCCCTAGAGCATCTTCTAAGAGCTAAAGACAGCAACTGCTACTTCCTGCGCTCCACATATGGCTTAGGCTGTGCCCTTCCTCTTTCATCAGGTGCTCAGTTATCTGCTCAAATGTCATGTCATCACCCCAACACTGGCATCTCCACACCCTATCTCCTTCCAGCCACTTAGTCCCAAGTTTGCTTTTCACCTACAGCCCCATCCCTGCCTGGCATTACATTGTTCTGGCACTTTTTGGTTAGTGTTGCCTGTGAGCAGGGGCCTTGATCACCATCTTCTTCAGACACACCCACACACAGAAACACACACACACACACACACCACCCACACACACACACAGAAACACACACATACCACACCCCTACACACAGAAACACACACACAAAAACACACTCAGACACACAGAGAAACAAATACACACACAGACACACACACAGAAAAACACATACAGACATGCACCACCCACCCCCCCCCACACACACAGAGAAACAAACACACACACAGAAAAACACACACACAGACACAAGTTCTAGAAAACTCCCTGGCATGCAGTAGATGCTTAATAAATGTCTGGTGAACAGAGTCTGTAAAGAATCACACCAAACTGTACCACCAAACCGGTACACAGTGGTAATCATTCCACCAGACACCAATCTTCCGCGGTCACAAAATGAGCCAAGTGTTTACCATTGTGGAAGTCAGAATGTTGGTCGTCCTTGACACAGACAGGACCAAGGGAGCCCACAGGGTCACAGTCACAGGGATGGCAAGGCTCATCTTCATAAGGAGACACCTGAAAGGCAGGGCTGGCCTATGTTATCCTGCTAGAGACACCAGCAGTATTAGCAATGATCCCATGATAACATCGACAGGATGTCAGCGTTCCGTTCAAGACGGACTCTTGCAGTGATTTTGTGTAACAAGGGGATGTAGGTATCAGGAGGATAAAGTGATCTCAAGCAGGAAGCTACAAAGTATTTTTTTTGACATACACGTTTTTTTTTCGAGGTACTGGGGTACATGCTTGCTAGGCAGGTGCTCCACCACTTGAGGCAGTCCCCAGTCCTTGTGTATTCGGTTGTTTTTCAGATAGGGTCTTGCTTTTTGCCATGAACTATTGTCCTCCCACCTCTGCCTCCCATGTAGCTGGGATTACAGGTGCATGCCAACATGCTCAACTTGCTGGTTGAGGTGGGGAGGATTAGGTCTTGCTCACTTTTTGCCTGGGCTGTCCTTGAATCATGAGCCTCCCAATCTCTGCCTCCTGAATAGCTGTGTTTATAGGTATGTGTCACAGGCCTAGCCTGCCACAAACATCTTTTTGATGGTGACAGGAGTTAGCAGCATTAGCAGAGTATCATTCTTTCCCTCTTCCCCACCACCACCACTACCGCTACCTTGTCCCTCTGCTATCTCTCAGAGCAATATTTTAAGCATTACCTATAAATAAGCCACCCAAGGACCCATGACACAGCTATATATCAGGTCAATTGAGGACTGATTGAACACATCCTATGGGAAAGACACAGCTACTTTAGTCACTGACTGATTCTTCACGCCTACACTTATTACCCCAGATTCCTCAGCTAACAGGACCCTGAATCCAAGTTAAGCAACAAGCCACGCAGGCACATTTTACTTGGAGCAAGAAAACCCAATGAAGTAGGAGACAGGAATCTAAGGAACACTAGAAGCAACACAAGAACCTGCAGGAAGTATTACGAAAGGAAACAAGGCTCCCATGGAGAGGCCGAGACTTGGTGGAGGCCCTCTGCCCCGTGGAAGACAGTGGAGCTGAGCTACAGGGCGAAAGGATGCTCACTTTGTGTGGCCGGTAGTACCCATCAATGCAGGTCTCACAGTTGATCCCCGTGGTGTTCTGCAGGCAATTGATGCAGACGCCTCCTCCCTGGAACTGCCCTGCCGTGTTCAAGCTTCTCTGCTGACTCGCGACACTTTCATCATAGTAACAGTCTTTGGCTTTGTTGTGACAATTACATTCTAGGAGCATAATTTAACATCTTAATTAATATACGTAGTATGTCCTATGGAAAGCAGGTCCTGATTTCCCAAAGTAAGTTTTTAGGATTAGACATTAGATTAAAATTTTAGAATAAATGATTTTAATAAGGTATAGACAGTATCACAGAAGTCAATTGGGAAGCACTATCAAAATAACAAGTGTGCAGGCTGGGCATGGTAGTGCCTGCCTGGAATCCTAGCAGTCAGAAGCAGGAGGATCACCAATTCCAGATAGCATGAACTACATAGTGAACCCCTGCCTCAAAAAAACAAGGTCTGAGAATGTAGCTCAGTAGGAGAGTGTTTGCCTAGCATGCACAGGGCCCTGGTTCACTCCCTGCACCACCCAATAACAGTAAAACAGCAAATATGCGTGCCATCTGCTCCAGCAATCCATTTGTGGGATTACACTGTGCATAAGTGCTGACATACTTGTGGACGATAGGCACAGGCTAATCATTGCAGCACTGTTTGTAGTATCAGACTGGTAGCAACTAAAATATCCTTACAGTGGAATTCCATGCTGTTGCTTTTAAAAACAGCATTTCGCATTGTTAATATGGAAACTTTTAAAGATATTTTGTTAAGCATTAAAAAGCAATGTGGGTTGGCACGGTGGACTGTAGCTGTAATCCCAGCACTGTGGAGGCTAAGTCAGGAGGATGGAAAGGTCAAAGCTAGCCTGAATTACACAGAAAGCAGGTCAAGCTACAGAAGAGACCTCGTGGTGAAAAACAAATAAACTGTACAGGGCCGGGGTGTAACTCAGCAGGAAAGCAAATGTTAGCATAGTATGCCAGACCCTGGTTTCAATTCCTAACACCAAAACCAACAGAAGTCAAGTACAGAGAATGGCGTGTGTAGACTGTCACCTGCGTAAGAACTCCATGGGGAGTGGCATGTCACTATATGCTTTACATTTGTGTACAGTTTTAGGAAGAACACGGTAGGAAATAATAAAAAAGTGACAAGATGGCGATGAACTGGAAGTAATACTTTTTGCTCCACACTTTCACATACTGCCAGATGCTGGGATCTTGTCATATACTCCCATTTAGAAGTTAACTCCAAATTCATAAATCATCAACGTTCACATGGGAAGGAGTCCTTAGATAAAACAGCAGTCACAAGGAGACATTTACTCCTCAGTAGTTTGAACTTTATTAAGTTAAACCACAGCTGTAGGAACTATTTGACTATGTGAAAAAAAAATAAGTCTTACTATTCATTATAAAAGTGATTAAGAACCCAGAAGCTTAAAATTACATTCATTATATTGTAAGTGTTTTTACCTTCACACGTGTTGCCAGAGGAAATGGTTCCAGGCCTCCAGGGCTGCTGATGGTACCCAGGACAGCACCTGTCACAGCTCTCCCCACAGGTGTTGTGTTCACACTGACACTGGAGTTGCTAAACAAAAAGGGATGCTCATCATCAGAAGAGTTTACTTGCATAGACTCCCTAATCGTGCTTAAGAGAAGAATCCATCATGGTCAAATAGGTGGCAAGATTTCCCACTGGGAGATACGTGACTGTATCAGAAACGCTGGCATTTGACGTTCAGAGAAGAATAATACCTACAACCTGCCAAAGTGTCAGTTAATTAGCAAAAATGGTCTTAAGAAGATACATGGACTTTACAGGTTTGAAAGCAACTGTTAACAATTTTCTTAATTATTAAGAGATTTTTCTCATTATTTTCTGAAGTTCACTAATGTATTTTTCTGCATAAAAATAGAGTAATCCAGATTGGGGATGAAGCTCAGTAGGAGAGCACTTGCCTAGCATGCATGAAGTCCTGGGTTCCATCCCCAGCACCACAAAAATAAGTAAGTAAATAGAAATAGCCCTACAAGAAGTACTGACTTGATGAGATTGAGAGAAAACAAGAAGTAACTTCCTGTGTTTTGAAAGGTGACAATGCCATATTATTCACTTAATATTATTCTAAAACAGGTAAACTTTATTCTCATTTAGTACCACAGAAATGGAGGAGAAAACAGAAGTGGACAACTTTCTTTTAAAAAAAATGTAAACATAATTTATAACAGCACATGGTTTTGGTTTGTGCTCTTTTTGTGTTTTTTATTCATTTATTCATATGTGCATACATTGTTCGGGCTGTTTCTCTCCCCTGCCGCTCGCCCCGTCCCTCTCTCCCCCACTGCCCTCACTTCCAGGCACACTCTTATTCAGAACAGAGCTTCAAAATACACAAGACCACAGAACTGTACATCTTATTATGGTAACTTTTATGTTGTGGATATTTTACCACAAAAATCATGGGCAGGACTTAATTATAAATATATCCTCCAAACAAAGCAAAATGATGAGATTCTTTTAAAAAATGAAACCAGATAAATTATCTGAAAATGTTTTTTTTATTTTTAGCATGATTTTATACCCTTCAATGTCTTCTTTGAATAAGAAGAGTAATGAAAACCTTCTGGCTGAAACTTCTGTGTTGAAGTTTCAGTAAATTGCAAACTACCAGGGCTCACCTTTGTGGTTTCATCCCATGGGCAGCTACGAGCATGGCCATAGCAAATACACATTCCTCCAACAGAAATGTCTTTTATCGAATAGAAATACTAAAGAAAAAGAAAGTTACAAACAAGTTAAAAATCTCTTATCTGAGTGAAAAGAAATGCTGGCTCTCCTCAAAAATTTCCAGTGGTTTAAGAGTCATTGTTGGTAATTAAAATATAATTTGATGTGCATTTTGAAATAGTATGTCATGCCCAAAGAATCTTTGTGTTCAATTAAAATCAATAATGCTCAGCTTAGCCCACCAGCAGAACCCAAAATTCTAGAAGAATTTTCTAATTTGGCTACATTTTTAAACCAGAACAGCCAACTTTGAAATGCCTAAAAATACAAGTAAGGTTAATATACCTTTATATAAAAAGGTTAACACATCACCAACAAGCAATATGTATCCCCAAATGCAAAGTTTGCCTAACACAAAAATCAGCAGATGGGAATCACCACATTAGCAGAATGAAGTCTTCCACTTAAGCCTGCTCACCCACTTCTTGCTTCTGCATGTTAGCATCAACAGACTCTTTTAGATTTTATTTCCCTTTGTTCATTGATAGTAGATAGAAATGTGATTCATTTTTGTAAATTGCAAATTTTGTATACTGCTAAATTCACTTATTAGTTCTAGTCGTTGTTTTGTAGATTTTCTATGCACACAATTGTCATCTACAATGAAGCCAGTTGACTCTTACTCAACACTTTGTTTGCCTTTGATTCCTTGTTTTTGCATTATTGGACAACAGCTTTACCAACCAACAAAATATTGCCAACAGGAATTAAAGAAGACCTAAGTAAGTAGAGAAAGCAGCATGTTCATGGATTGATGATTCAATATTGTTAAAATCTCTTCCTAAATGGATCTAAAGAATCAATGCAATCCCAATGGAAAGCTTGGCAGGCATTTTTTTTCCTTAGGTAGAAATTAACAAACAGATTCTAACATTTATAAGGAAACACAAGGAATTTAAAATAGCCAAAATGATCTTTAAAAAGAAGGAACCATTTAATGGGGGAAACAAAGTATTTTAAACAAATGGTGCCGGATTACACATGTATACGGGGGGAGAAAAGGGCCCTGAGTCCTACCTCTCAGCAAACACAAAAACTGATTTGAGATTGGTTATAGACACAAAAGCTAAACTATAAAATTGCTAGAGGAGCAAATAGGATAACAACATTGTGAACCTGGGATAAGCAGATAGTTTTCCCAAAGGACAGAGACAGCACTAACCATAAAGGAAAAATGGCAAGCTGGAGATCATGAAAATTGAAAGTTCTGCTCATCAAAAGTTATAGTTAGAAACGTGAATAAGCAAACTCCAGACAGAGAGAAGCTATCTGTAACATACACAAATCTGATAAAAGACTTATACGTAAAACACATGAAGATCTTTTGTAACTCAGCAACAAGGAGATGGGTAGTCCGACTAGAAAATGGACAAAAACATGTGATCCGATATGAACAAGTTCAAAGTCAACACGGGTAATCAGAGGAACACAAGTTAACTTCACCAGATGACAAGACATGCACATGCATCAGGTGACACCAAAATGAATGCTAACATTACATGTTTGGAAATGTGTGACAGAACCAGAGCTCTGACATGTTGCTGTTTTGGCTGCAAAACCTACAACAACTTTTGATCATGTTTGGCATATAATGTGAGAGCTGGCAGAGGAAAAGGCCAACCTGGAAGAACTGAAAAGAAAAGAAGAAACAATTATGTCCCTGAAGCACTTTTCACAATGGCCAAGGTGCCACCTTGTACTCACACGTCTTGTGACTATAGGGTCGAGGTCTTTGGGGTCCCTGTGGCTGAGGGTCATGAGGTCTGCATTAAGCGTGCGGATGCGCTGCAGGCGAAGGCGGATGTAACGTGCAGAGGTGAATTCCAGCAACCTGGGTGACAGATCATCAGCACTTGGTCTGCCATTGATGAGGGACGTGTGAATCTGGAGACAGCAAGATAAAATGCCAATTTTAAGCATGCAACAACGCAGCCCTGGTGGTTTCACTCCAGGACATAATATTTACAAAGACACTATCTAAAATCAAAACCCCATTAGGTTCTTGTAAAAAATCTGTCTAACATGTTAACTGCTCATGAATCACCTGCCTCACTGCATGTTCAATGCATGGAAGCTGGTCATTTCAGTGTAGCGTTGGCTGGAAAATACTTTAACAGGATACTTCTCCCACAGTGGAGAGAGTATTTTAACACCTATCATTAGGCTCTGGCTTCAGAAGCAAATTCTGAACAGGCTGGGGAGGGCAAGCAAATGGCCTGCCAAAGGGGCTTTAAAAATTCAGCTCTCTTCTTTAATCTCTGCACTTGAAGCAATGAGGAGCTTTCTGCAGAGTTCCTGGGTGAAGGGCACTTCCCAGAGTTTCGGCAGCTTTCTCTCATCAAGCCAGGTGCTTCCAAAGAGTGGGCTGTTTTCAGCCCATCTGCCTCTCCTGAGGTGTGTGCTGAGCACCCAAGCTGTCATACTTTGTGGGCACCTCCAAGTCCTCCACACCCTCCAAGGAAGGACAACATGGAGAAAACTAGGAACTCTATCTTTTAGAAGCAGTTAATTTCTCTCTTTAATATTTCAACAGACGTTCTTGCCCTGGTGTTCTGGAGAGCTGCTCTGACAGGGATGATGGAGTCATTCAGTCACAGCAATGAAGTCTGAGGGCCCTCCAGGAAGGAAGGAAATCAATATGGTAAAATGATCTGTAGTGGAATTAATCACAACAGACACACTCAAGGCTACCTTAAACAGAGCGAGGGAGCTATATGGCAGATCTTTGTACTGAGAGTCACCAATTTTGAGTGTTCAATGTTGACTCCTACCATGGCTGTTTTGGGCTGCTGATGAGCAAAGGGCATCACCGTGGTGGGTACAGTACCTCTCCATGTTCCAGTGGCACCAGTCTGGAGTAATAGGAGGTGCAGATCACTTCATCATCAGCTCTGTAGGTGGGTGGCCCCCGTCTTGGAGTTATGTTATAGCGTGTCAAACACTCTGTGTCACTGACTGCGTAGTACTGCCAGGGGCTGAACGTGGTGCCATCCACAGAACGCTCCAAAATCCAGTTTCCGGGTCGTGGGGCATTGGCAGCTTTAATGATCACATACGCAACTTGAAAGACCTGAAACAAAGGCACTGGCAAATAACATGGGAAGACAAATACTGCACAAGCTCATTGGCATGTGGAATCTAAAATGGCCCAACTCACAGGAGCAGAGAATGCGGGTTAACAGGGATCCCTTGCCTCCCCAGGAAAGCACAATGGGGAGATGTAAGTGAAAGGTGAAAAATTTCAGTTATGCACCAGAACTAAGCTCTGGGGATCTCAGGTACAACAACAGGATGTGGGTGACAAGACTGTACTGTGTGCTAGAAATTTACTAAGAGGAGAGTCCTTATGTGTTATCACACACACACCACGCAGGTGACTCTGTGAAGAGTTAATTTTCTTGATTGTGCTTATTATTTCACAAATCATCAAGCTGTACAGGAAGTGTATGAAATTGAAAATAACAGATTCAGCAGCAATGAGCAAAAACCAAAATGCTTCTTGAGAGAATTGCTCTGCAATGATTGCCAATGTCTTTCTATGCTCTGGAGAATAATGGCTAACACATGTCAATCAGAAGTGTGTCTCCTCAGATGCTCCTGATTGCTTCTGTTTTCAAAACAAACTCAAAAGGCACTCACAAGTCAATTTGTATTATTACTACTAATACATTCAGCACTCAGATTATTTTAAGAGCTTCTCCTAACCTGTTTCCAGTACCTTCCTCTATCTGGATTCTGATAACAGTAGTGTTATATTAAATTAATAGGCATGCTAGATGTATTTCTCATAGTGGTTTGGAGATCACACATCTGAATATGAGAAAAGTCGGTCACTCACGTGCCTAATAGAAGGGCTAAAAATCAAGAAGTCAGGGCTGGTGAAGTGGCTCAAGTGGTAAAGCACCTGCCTAGCAAGCATGAGACCCTGAGTTCAAACCCCAATACCACCACAAAAAAAAAAAAAAAAAAAGAAGAGCTAAAATCTAAAACACTAATAACACCAAATGCTGGCAAGGATGTAAAAGAGAAGAGTCATTCATTGCAGTGGGAATGCCCAATGGGGTGGCTGCTTTCGAATGGGGTTTGTCAGTTTTTTATAAAACTAAACACACTCCCTAGATGATCCAGCAATCGTGCTTCTCGGTATTTACCTAACAGAAAATTTGCACGTGGATGTTGACAGACGCTTTGTTCATAATGTCTCACACGTGGAAGCACCCAAAAGTCCCTCAATAGGTGGATGGAGACACAAAGTATTTTGTACCCAGACAATGAAACACTACTCAATAATAAAAAAGAATTGTTAAGCCACAAACAGAGCTGGAGGACTAACTGAAAAGAGGCCAATCTGAAGAGGTCCCTTCCAGGGACAGCAGATTCACTGGCTCCTAAGTTGGCCCTTCTGTCTTCTGACCACTCCCCTGTTAAAGGACCTGGTTTTACACTGATTTAAAGTCTCCAATAAATTCTACAGTCTGGTGCTACAGAAAGGATGTGGAATTCCATTTTCACGTAACTGGCTTCAAATACTGAAATATTACACACTTTCATGTTTGGCTTCCACATTCTGGTTTCCTGAAAACTGTCATCATTTAACAAGCTGTCATTACCTCACACTCCACTGCATTTGTGAAACTACATGTTACAAAATGGAAGTGCCAAGCAGACGCAAGGCAAACGGGCAGCCCACTGGACAGGGACACAGACCTCTAAGATAGGAAGCATTTGCCATCTGTCATCCAGTTTCACTTCTGGAAATGTAAAGTGCCAACAGCCTCATCGAGTGCATGTTACTCAATCCCAGGCAGTCCCAATACAATTTTCTGCCCATTTTACCTATTTGGAAACTGATGTAAAGAGACGTCAAAGCACAAACTACCGAGTTGCAGGTCCCAATCAGAAACCTGGTGCTCTCTCCTCATTGTCTGCGGCCACTCACTGTGCTCAGTGTACTCTACACCCACCCTCACCCCAGAACTTTCTTTTGGTAATAACAACAAAAAGACTCCTATGTTCTCTTGGAACTGGGTTCTTATCTAAAAATACCACAGTGGCTGGTGGTTGTTACACTTACTTCTGCGGTTTGTCATGACAGTTCAGGATGAGGGGTGGGAGAGGGTGGAGAATGTGCAAGAAAGACAATTAATAAGTACTAGTTTGCCAGGAGCTGGTCGCTCAAACCCATAATCCTAGCTACTCAGGAGGCAGAGATAGGGAGGATCTTGATTCAAAGTTAATCTGGGCAAATAGTCCACAAGACCCTATCTCCAAAAACACTTCACAAAAATAGGGCTGGTGAAGTGGCTCAAGGTGAAGGCCCTGAGTTCAAGCCCCAGTACCACAAAAAAGTACTAGTGTAATAAATACTAATAATTGCTAATTACAGGGCACTTACTGTGCCCCATACAAGGCTAAATGTTTCATTAGAATTAGTAACTCAGAATCCTCACAATTATGGATTTCTTATGACATACCATTTCCCCACACTTTACAAATGAGGAAACTGAGGCACAAAAAGGTTAAGTAACCTTCTGAGGATCTCACAAGCACAACATGGCTTGAGCCAGGCACTCATCACCATTACGCCATGCTACTTCTACAGATCATAAGGGAAAGGGAGACAGAAACACGACTTATCAACCCAGTTTCTGTAACCTCTCACTTCCACCAGCAGCAACTGTCTCAGTGTCACATTCTAGTGCCTTGTCAAACCCTTGCAGCTTTTATACTGAGAGTCAAATGGAAGGACAGACATCGAGGGAGAGGTTCAAGAGGAGGCCTCCAAGGAGAAGCTGGTTGACACTTACCTAGATCAAAGTCTTTTGTTAAGAAGGTGGCTACTGTTCTCATAATCTCTCCCTGGTCCTCAAGGTCCCCACACTGGGGGCTAGGAAACAAATTAAAAAGGAACTGAAGTCTGACAAAGAGGGAAAGGATACTATGAAAGATCTAAATACAACCTGTCTTCAATTTAAGCTTTATGGCTCAATTATGTCTGTCCTCTCCAGTTTCCTATGTTTAAGTCCAATCCCCAGTGTCTCTGAAAATGACTATATTTGGAGATGAGGCCTTTTAAAGAATGATTCAAGTAAAAACAAATGATGAAACCTACTATTTTGTACAATTAATATATGCTATTGAGAAGAAAAATGAAGTGAAATGAGACCTAGTCAACATGACTAGTCCTTATAAGAACATAAGGCACAGACGTACAGTGTGGAGACACAGGGAGAAGAAAGCCATCTGGAAGCCAAGGAGACAGGCCTCAGGGAAAAAACAACACCTACCCACACCTTCATGTTGCACTTCCAGTCTCTGAAGTATGAGAAGTAAATTTTTCTGGTTTAAGCTGCACAGTCTGTGCTCTTTGTTACAGCAGCTGAGCTGACCGATACAAGCCCAATCACCCTGTTTGACAAGCAGGTTTTACACATGAGGTAGCAAAAGTGAGGGAGTCTCTGCTAGTACATATAATTTTAAACCTTGGTCCAAATGAAATCCATGGCATCTCTGTTTCCCTTTTTTGGCCTAGCTGACTAAACTGCCTTTTCTCTCCACATAAGGTTGGATGAGCACAAATAGTTGATGCAGGGATTTTTGCCAGACTCGGAGGAGTGACAGTCTTGCCAAACCTGCAGCTGATGCAGCCATTTTTAAATCCACTTTCTTCACCGGGTTTCCACCCAGTAGCCTTCGTTAATGATCACTGGAATGCACGTAACAGTGCCACATAAATAACATAGGCACACATCAAACACCACTTTCTACAAAGGAATCCAGACAGGAATTTTCATGTGAGCCTCAATCTTAAACACAGTAAATCCGTTTCAGACATCTGTGTCAGACACAGATGTCTGAAATGGAAATACAGATAGCCTAATTTTCCAAGGTCAGCTTCCCACGTGCAGGAAGAGGTATAGTTTCCTTATCTCATAGAAATGCAGGGACTGATGGCAGGCATGAGTCCCTCCTGGAAATTCTCCCTGGAAGAACCCACCTGCCACCAAGGTGGTGACCAAACAGGGAAAGCGGGAGTGTTTCTGCTCTTACATGAGGGAAATGAACTTCTCACAGATGATGAGTTTAGTGTAACGATAGTTAAGTGTATTTGATAAATAATATTGCTTGATGACCTCTACAAAAGCAGTGCTTTACAATTTCAAACAACTATTAGAATTAATATTTATTACTCAAGAATAAAGAAGCAATTATTTAATAGGAGGCTCATCGACAAAGCAAATATGAATCACTTCTGGTTTTATAGAGTATCCATCATTAAAACACCTAGTAGACTGATTGGTGAATGAAGAAGCTGACAAGTTTGCTGGGGAAGGACATGCACAGTACACATTTCAGAAAAATCTCTTATGGGCACTTAGCTTAAATTTTTAGTTGACTGTTTTATTGTTGTCTGTTCATTTAAGACCAATACACACAATTAAAGACAAAACAAATAACTTTGGGGCTCAGGCTGAAGCTCAGCTCAGTGGTAAGAGCACTTCTTACCATGTGTGAGGCCATGGGTTTGATCCCCACCAGCACCAGAAAAAAAAATTTTAAAGCCTCATGAATGAGAAGAGAATGTTGGAATACAGGATTTGTCTTCTTTAAATTTGGTGCTGACACTAAACATGCAAAGCAAACGTCAAAGTCCAGTAACTTCTCCCCCTTCCTGTCTTCTTTTTGTTTTTTCTTTTCCTTGGGGAAGAGGAGGAACTGGCTGCCAGTAGTGATAGATAAACTCAGATCAAGGTTTCTTTCCTTAAAATTTGAGCCTCAGAACATCAAGGAAGGTTCACTTTTGATCTGAGCTGAGTAGTTGAGCAGACATTGAGGAAAAGCCAAAGGTGATTACCAAGAAGACGGCATAGAGATAGAAGCCCATTTCAAAAGCAGACATCACCCTTTAATCAGTAATCCAAAGACGGGAAAGGAATTTTTAAGACACCTGTCAGAGTGGTTCTGTTTTCCATCACCTGCAAAAGCTGTTTCAGAAGGAGCCCAAGAAACTGTCCCGTGGTCTAGGCACCACTCTTTCCATGTGAACTAACACTACTTGTGTTATTTCCA